GGCCCAGCCCTAAACCACGACATCTTACTAGTTTTAGCAAAATATATATACACAAAAAGAAGTCCTCATGGCTTTGGGTTCATAAACGCTCCTCAGGACAGTGGTGGCTGGGTGCCACGTGAATTCCACTTCCATGAGGTGGAAGGATGCCCAAGCCTGGGTTGAGGGTTGCCTCATGCCTTTTATTCTGACTTGCCCTGTGTTTCCAATATGAGTACTTGTACAAAAACTTGGTAAAAACCTTTTTTTTTAACCTATCCATCCTGTGAAGCAAAGCACAGCTTTGAGTGCAACTTCCTCTGGAAGTTGAACTGTTCACTCTATTACCTGGATTTAAAGTTGTGCTTTATCAAATCTGAAGTCTCCTCAATATTCAACAGTACTTGCCTATGAAGCAAGCATGGAAAACACCACAGACACAACTATTTCCAGTAGGAGATTGAGGGATGTTTTTGAAGGGTGAAATTTATGTGGAGGTTACATTTACACTGAGATTAATGACAACAGATGATGCTCATCCAGGGATAAATATGTATACCTCACTTTGTATCACATTATGCTGGCTCTGCAGCTGTTGAGAGAAACAGCTGGAGAAACCTTTCTGGACCCTCTCATGGCATGTATTATTAGTACAGTGGGTACTGAAACTGGACACTGCTGCACATCATAGCAAAGAGCTATTTTTATTTTCATCATAAATAGTCTGGTGGCAATGAGGGTCAGACCTTAGTGGTCTGGTGGTCAGATGGTCCCTGAGCACCTTCTGTGCAGGAGGGAACGGGGATCCGACAAAAACCCTGGCTATGCTGCAGAAGCTGAGGCAGCCCTGCAGTAGCTCTCTCCTCTTGTCCAGATGCTCCTGGTGAGTTTGTCTTGTCCTGTTCTCCTCACCCCGTCTTCCACTCCTCACTCAGTCCTTTTTGTCTCTCTTTTGTCCTAATTTATACTTAGTTTATCCTTCTTTCCTGTTCAGCATCCCAGTTTCTTTGTCCACTTGCTTCCCTTTCCCTCCCTATGAGAACTGTTTCCCTGTTTTCTGCTCTTCTTTTTGGATTCCTACAACGTTTCGCACCTATCCATCACCCATACCTCTTGTTTCCCCTAACAGCAAAGACCAGCAGTCCCTACTTTCTCTCCGTCTGGCTCTCTGCCACCCTTTACCCCACAGCGGGTCCCAGCCACTCCTCCTCCTTGCCCCCTCCAGTCCCTAAGCCCCAGTTCTTTGTTCAGCTGCATCTTGGTCCCAGTTTGAGATCTTTCCCT